TACAAGCGAAGGGTAGCTTGAGAAATTACTCGACATAATTACGTAATATCATGCTACGGTACAAATATCAACCACAAGTACACCATACAACAAATGAAACGTAAACAAAAGACACACAGCAAACAATATGACGATAAGTTTCGCGATAACAATGCATCACAAGCGATTATGTTACTTTACGTTAGTGTTTCTCGTTCCAGCGTCGATTGCAGCTAAAGATTTGCTGAGAGCCTTCGGTTGAGGACGCTTCAGCTTAAATTATAAGTAAAATATTACACAAATTAGGCATCGTGTTTGTCATAAGCTTCATCACTTGCGAGTGGTAGACCTTGCACCCTTCAAATGAAATGTTACCATCCACGTCCTTTGTCGAGGGTCTTGAAACATGCAATTTTGTTCCTTTTTTATCTTCAAACATGTAAATATTCCACAGAATTCAACCATTCCACTCGAGTATAGATCAAAATATGACACAAGTAGAACTAGGAATATTTCACTGCGATTTAGATTGCGTGAACAGACTAACGGCTCAACCTCAACCAACAACAAGATGGCGGTTGACAGTTTGATCATTTTATCATAAGGCTCTCTGTACATGTTAACTTGTTTTTTTTATCAAGCAATCCATTCCTTCTTCGAAGATACAACAATAAACACTGAGTAACGAAGGTCATTGTGAAGAGAAGCTTATAATCTCCTGAGTCTATAAATGAAGGGAACATTCACGCTTAAACACAGTTGATCACATAAAATTAGTATATCACATAAAAGGAGAAACTAAGTCACTCGACAAGGATTGAAGTGATTACTTTCGATTCTTCCGTCCTATCTCCCTGTTTTGAGGCTGACCAATGCACGCCAGGCTCTTTCTGAAAATTGACAGACCCTTACGTACTGTACATTAACTCACATTTGTCGCTCAAAACAGACAGTAAGGAATATTACTAAATGATATCTTGGCGGCGAAAGACCGAGGGATGCATTATTTTGGAACTTAGTCGTAACATTTGCATTTTACAACAGCCTTTTCATTTTTCTGTTGGACTCAGCCAATCGGATGGGTGCTTTTGATTGTTTGGTATAACGTGATTGACTTATGATTGTCTGTGATCTCGTGATCTGACAGACGACCCCCTGATTCTCGAAGTATCGCATCATTGCAAAGCAACACTAGATCGACGAACATGGACTAAATGCAGCGTCTTTAAAATTCGTAAATAGCAATTCACTTACTGACATGTAGAAAATGAGTTTTGGAGACAGAAGCACGGATACGAGACAGAGAATTTGAAGAACAACCTTCAACTTGAGGTATTTGATGGAGGATCGAAACCGAGGAGTTTTATTTGATTGAATTGAACTCATATCAGTTTTTTCCAACAGCTGTTCGTTCAATCGATTTCAAGCGTTGAGTGATACATCGTGTGATACATCAGGAGAGGGGCAAAGCTAAAAGTAAGAACGCTTTTAACAAACCATTGTAAAATAATTATATGGGGACATTTATGAATCGCACATAAAGAAACGCACACCGTCAATAATCCTTGTGACAGCTTCCCAGTTCTTTAAACTCAGCAAGCCTATTGATATGTGTAAGCTAAATGTTATTGTGGGTAAAATCTGAATTTCGAATGTCGTTTTCTTTGTCTGACGTAAAGGGCAAACATGCTAGAGTTAAAATCGATGTCACTTCTCAGTTAATTCGATGTTTGCTGTATAATTTTGCAGAGGAAACTCGATGCTTAAGGCCTTACACTGAAACCGTTGCAAACTAGGAGTAGCTAAGGAACGCTTCAGCTTAAAACGTAAGTAAGATATAACACAAATTAGGCATCGTCTTTGTCATAGACTTCATCACTTTCGAGTGGTAGACCTTGCATCTTTAAAATGAAATGTTTCCATCGGCGTCCTTTGTCGAAGGTCTTGAAACATGTTTTTTTGTTTCTTTTTGATCTTCAAACGCGTACCCATCCCACAGAATTCAAGCATTGTACTCAAGTTTAGAGAAAAATATATAACAAGTAGAACGAGGAAAATTTCATTGAGATTAAGTTCGTGTGAACTTACCAATGGCTCACTGACTTTAACCAACAACGAGATGGCGGTTGGCAGTTTGATCATGAGGTTGTCTGTACATGTTAACTTGTTACCTTTTTTAATTTAGAAATCCAATCCTTCTTCGAAGATACAATAGTATCACTGAGTAACGAGGAAAAAGGTCATTGCGAAGGTAAGTTTAATCCACTGATTTATAAATAAGGGAACGTTCACGCATACATGCAGCTCATCACGTAAAATTAGCAGTAAAAAGAACTAATTGAGCTACTCAACAAGCACTCAAGCTATTACTCTCAATTCTCCTATTCTATTCCCCTGTTTTAAGGCTGGTTAATGCCCGCTTAACTCTCTCCGAGAATCGACAGACCCATTGGTTCACATTTATCGCTCAAAACAAATAGTAAGGAATATTATTGAGATCTTGGCGGTGAAAGCCTTAGGGATTGCAATATTTTGGAACTTTAACGTGACAATTGCATTTTACAACAGCCGTTTCATTTTCTGTTGGACTCAGCCAACCAGATGAGTGCTTTTGATTGTTTGGTATAACGTGATTGACGTATGAATGTCAGTGATCGCGTGATCTGACAGACGACGCCCCAATTCTCGAAGCATTGCATCATTGCAAAGAAACACTGGATCAACGGACGAGAACTAAATGCAGCGTCTTTAAAATTCGTAAAGAGCAATCACTTCTTGACATGTAGGAAATGACTTTTGGGGCCAGAAACACGGGTACGAGACAAACGATTCGAAGAACAACCTTCAACTTGAGGTATTTGATGGAGAATCGAAACTGAGCGGTTTTATTTGATTGAATTGAACTCGTATCAGTTTTTTCAACAGCTGCTGGTCGTATCGATGTCAAGCGTTGAGTGACACATTGTGTTTATATCAGGAGAGATGCTCAAAGCTAAAGGTAAGAAAAATCCTTTTGACAAACCATCGTAAAATAATTATGTGAGGACATTTACGAATCGCACATAAGGAAAAGCACACCGTCTATAATCCTTGTGACAGCTTCCCAGCTCTTTAAACTCAGCTAGCTTATTGATATCTGTAAGGTAAATGTTACTGTGGGTAAAATCTAAATTTCGAAAGTAATTGTTTTCTTCGTCTGACGTATAACGCAAACACGCTAGAGTCAAATTTATTTATTGATGAAAGCGGAATTTGAAATTGAAATGGTCTGAAACGGAAAGACTTGGGACATATTCCTCAAGCTGAGTTATTTTCGGAACCAATTTGTCTTCTTTGTTGCATTGTAAAGGCTCAGCAAGAAAGAGCCCACTGATAACTAGGTCGCAAAAGGATATGCATAAAACCCGAGGAAATAGATAAATAAATATACGCAAACATTGTGTTTTGCTTCCCTGGTTATGAGCTGGATAGTTAACTATGCGACGGCTTAACGGCATGTGTTTTGACTCGAGATGACTTATTGCCTTTCTGAGTTCTTCTCATTTTCAGGCAAGATTCTGATTGATTCGAATTTTTCTTTTAATAAAGGCGCGGCTCTGGCTTTACCTCTCTCCTTTGCCGTTAGTTTCCCTCTCATGACGTTTTAATCCGAATTGTCTTGAGCAGTGTAATCTGCGATTACACTTCACCACCGAAATAGTAAATATGGCGTCAATCTCCTCTTTGACCTCGAACTAATTCTCCTGAACTACGCGAATTTATCCTCTTAATACAATCATGCTTACCTATGGGCTAAACAAAGAATACATGATGTATGACAAACTGCTAGAATATTCACGGCCTTTTGCTACGCACAAGAAAGTCGCACTACGTGCGTGTGATTTCTTTCCCGAAAAGTACATGTCATCGATCTGTCACGGGAAGCTATGGGAAATGGTGAAAGCACGGACAAGACGTCTGTTTTGGTCAAAATTTCAATCACGATCAGGGATAATAAACCCTCCAGTTATATCCTACTATTTGTGCTTGGATCTGGTGGTTAAATCGTTGTTGTTGGCCATGATAAACGTGGTTAACTGCGAATATAGACGCTTTAAGTAAACCCAAGGTAAAGTTAATCTGGCTTTTTCTCATTGAATTCATTCGGTTTTCACAGTGTAAATTATGGTAAAAATGGCCAAATTGAAGAGGTCGACTTGAAAAGACTTACCGAAAGCGTATTTGAGGTAGGATTTAAAAACTCGCCACAACGAAAAAATTGTTTGAGAGAATTCAGATATTAAATGAATGAAAGTTCCATCGATTAATTTAATTTTAAATAAATATCTCACAGTTTTAACTTTCTGAGTTACTTTTTGTGAAGGAACACATTTCAAGGATAATAAACACAAAAGCCTTCATTTGCCACTAAAATATTTCTTATATTTGTCCTTTGACATTATCAGTTCCTCAAAGCTAACAGTTTCTCTTAAGCTTTGCTCTGGGAAACCTGTTCTCATTTCAGAACAAACAATGTTCGCGGACGAATATCTCTGCATATTTTTATGCCAAATGAAGGCGTTTGTTTCTGTTTTCCCCTGGTATTTAGCTGAATATATTTAATCAGATGATGATTTGAGACCAATCAAGTGTGAACAAATATATTTGGTACATGATAATGAACAATAGCTGGCAGAGCAGCTGGTAGGCTGTTGCACCCCCCCCCCCCCCAAAAAAAAAAAAAAAAAAAAAGAGAAAAAAGAAAAAAAAAGGTAAAATGAAATGCAATAGAATTAAAAAATGACTCCTAAGGTTTGGTGCAGGAGTTATGTAAGTAGCACAACCTTTTTAATAATTACAATTCTCTCCAAAGCACTGACAATTGTCTGTGAATACTGATGTATTCACGGAAATTTCAGAAAAGTTTTAAGGGGTCTTTTCCTAAGTCAGGTTTAACTTATGCAGGTCATCAAGTCATTTGGTGCATTTGTATTAATAATTATTTCTCTTATGCTTCTTGTTAGGTACTGATACTTTATGAAATGGCGTTTGATAGCTGGAAACCGGTTATCAAGTTTCAAAATGCTCTTGGAGGAGTTCAGTTTATTTTGTCTGTTGGATCGCTGAGTTACATTCTTGACACTTTACGAAAGTATCATGACAAAGATAGACTGAACTTCAACTGCGATCCCAAACCCAGTGATTTTATCAGACAACGTTGCTATAACAGCTACATTTCCACAGTTACCAGGCCTCATGGGTTGATACCTGGGAATATCGTTGCCGTAACACTCGGTGTTTTGTGTTTATGCTGGGTCAGCTTTGCAATTTATGGTGCTGTGGTCTTACGAAAAAGACCAGGAGACAGAAATAACAGAAACGCAAAAAAATTTCGTCGCATCTACTTCATCCATGTATTCTTTCGAATATTGTTCCTGGGTGTTATGTTAGGGCTGGTCTGCAGTTACCACACACTTTCTTTGCCTTCCGTTTTTAAGTGTGATGTTAATCAGATCCTACAGACCAACAGTAAAACCACGCCAATTCCTCTCAACCAGACAAAAATAACATTGCAATGTAATGATGTTTATCACAAGGAGAAATCAAACCAAAATATAGCTTTTATCTCTGTTTGTGCCATTGTCATGGTGCTTAGTATATGCGAAGTCCTACACTTGGGCCGTAACAGGAAGGACTTTCTGCAAGCGCTCATTGGTGATGACAAGTTACTGCCAAGTAAGTATATATTTAAAAGTTGAACTGCTAGCAAATTACCATAGCCAAAACACTGGTGCAAAAATGTTATTGAGTGTTATAATTATTTAATGGCTAAACGAAAGAAAGAGATTTGGCATGAACATAGAGAAGACAACCCACAACAATTTATAGGGGGAAGGGGGAAGAGGTTGTGTTTGTTAGTCTATTACACTTCATAATTCCAAACAACCTATTTGGGACTGGTACTGTTTGGTTCACCTGGTCAAATTCGTAATATAAGAGGAAATTTAGAAGCAGTTGCGTTCACTCATGGAAATAAAGTAAAGCTTTATGCGCTCGCCGAACAACTGCAGTGCCGCTATTTGACCTTTACACGAACCGCAGCGTTAACGACCCGACTCTGCATCCTGCTGGGCGCGACCACCCAATCTAAGGCCTGCAATCAGAAATGCGGGCTCTAATCTTTTTATTGTTAAGAGGGTCACAAGTATACCCCACAGAACTTTACTTGTGTCTGTAATACTCGCGAGACTCTGTACTAACTTTCCGTATGCAACAATCGACGTCTGTTTACTTACTCGTGGGTGACATATATTTCGTGAGATCTCCTGGGTTTTGGTGGTCACTTAGTTTTAGTACTGGTGCAAATCAGCCAGCGGGTCGGGTACGAACGACTCAAACTGGGTACGAAACGTCCTCGGGTATCAAAGACTAGAGAACAAGTTTTGTCGATCATCAATGTATGCTTTTATGAAACCAAATTCTTTGAAACGTACTTTTCGAGCTTATCATGGTTTCGATCTAACAGGTTAAGACCCGTGGCATTCATATTATTTGTTGAAGTGATTAAATTGACATGCATTATCAGAGACAAATTTTAAAAGAAGCATCATTTTGAACAGGTTTACCTGAGAAACCAACCATCACAAATACAGAAATAGAAGTTAACAAGGATTTCGTTGTTACCTGGTCAGAAGCTGACGCCAACAGCAGTAATTGCTGCATTACATATCGTCTGGAATATTGGAAACAATCCATGACAGGATCCACAAAAATCTGTCAACCTGGAAATATTGTTGAAACTCGCCACACGATAACTGGTCTTGAGTATGACACAGAGTACGAAGTGAAACTGTTTGCTGTCAACGAACAAGGAGACAGTGAGCCAGATGTCAGAACATTTAAGACAAAGAGTGGTATGTACCTTTATTTAAGACTTCTCACTTTACTTTTGGTAGAACTGTTTGAAATGAAATTAAATAAGTACTGTTGGGTCCTAACTACAGGAGTAGCACTGCTTCTCATGGGGCGAAGAATTGTGAAACTTTGTGACAACAGTTTTAATACTCATGCTGCAGCTCTTGTATAAGAAAAAATAATTATTTGCCCAACATTTGTTTACTATCGTCACTTTTGATTTGAGACTGTTCTTATTCCAACAAAGAGGAACTAAAATGACATCGTAAGGATAAGAAAGGTTTTTGTTTGCTAGTATCTTCAGCTACTTGTGGATTATCCCATAAAGTTAAGTAAACTTAGACTTTGAGCAAAAGAAAAACAGTGTACAAAACAGAACTTTACGGATTTTAAAGTATTCAGATGCAGAGATCTTACTTTAAACTCCGCATTCCAAATCTCTGAACTCGAGACCATACCGGAACGCCGATTTAGTTCAAACCTAGCCCTAGGTTTGCTCGGTGGAGAAAATTAATTGACACATTCTTAAACCAAGGCGATCTTACGTAGTTGAGTCCTTCGCACCTCATATAGTTTTATTATTATCGCTTCAATTTGAGAAAAAATCCAAGTTATGAAAATTTTGTAATCAGTCACGGGAGGTTTTCAGTGTGAAAGTTGGAGTATTGGAGATTTTATCATCTTTCATGGCTGCGGGTGACTTAAATTATCCGTCAAGTGTTCTTAATGATCCGTCGCGCAACCCGTGTCAAGCTATTCTGATAGCACTCCACTCCCCTCTCAAGGATAACTTTTTATGTGATCCAGTGTTGTTGTTACCAACATTGACAAGGGGGAGGAGGGAGGGAGAGATTTGTTAGCGATTATGACGAATTACAGACTAGCCATAATTATTCATGCAATTTTATCGGGTAATTATTGGGTACGTCGCGTGGCAGAAAATCACCGGACAGTTATCACGCATTAACCTCATTTTACGTCGATATTTATTCTTTGAACACATCCGTCGAAAAGAAACAAAGCCAGCAGAAAAGACCCTGCTCCAAAGTTTTATCTTTTCATCTCTATTTTTTTGCACGAAAGAAAAACGAACTCGTTTTTTAGACTCCAGTGATATTAAAAAGCCGGTCGCAGATACACATCCACCATCAGATCAACACTGGCTTTTTTTGCCGGCGGTTTCCTCGCGATCTAAAAATTAACGGAAGGGTTCGAAAATAAATAAAGCATTTTCTGGCTTGCTTGTATGTTGACTGATAATGTTCTTGGCTGAGATATTGTCCTCATAATTTTACATTTGGCCTGGAAGCTTCGCTTTTAGGCCAATTATTCATTTTTCGGACAATCTCTCAGCTGTGGACATAATAAATAAGTTCAATAAACTGCAATCCTCGTGTTCATATTATTTATTAAGTATGTTCCTTTTTTACATTTCAGCTGTAAGTGCCTACACTTCAGCTTTAAAGTCTTCAATTATGTGCCAAACGGAGTTCCAACCCAAACTGCTTGCCTCTCGCACGATTTCTAACGTGAAAACAGACGAAATATTCACTAATCTTCTCATGCAACATGGAAGAAAAGCCCTGATCAGGAATGACGAGACACATTCAAGGAGTGAAGAGCTTGAGTACTACGGAAAAGTCTGCGGTACCCCAGTCAAGCACTGCAGTGAAATATTTCTTGGTATGACTGATGATCAGGAGAATACTAATTCCATTCTTGTCGTTGGAAAAGCAGGGATTGGGAAATCCCTGTTTTGCCAAAAGGTGATTCGCGATTGGGCCAACAACGAATTATTTCAAGAACGGGAAGTCACTGAAATCCCCAATTTAAAATTTGTCTATTTGCTCACTTTCCGTCAATTGAATTTTTTTGAAAATAAGTGTGTAACTTTAAGAGAAATCTTAAATTGTTGTTCGGCACTGGATGACAAATGTAACATTAATGACTCTACATTTGAGTACATTATAGAGCATCCCAAGCAACTTATGATCATCCTCGATGGCTATGATGAGTATTCACAGCAAGACTGCATCGCTGAAAACTTAGAGGAGGATCCCAATGACGCTAGACGTAAAATGCCGGTGGCCGCATTATGTTCAAAACTCATGAAAGGAAAAATCTTGAGAGGGGCTATCGTCATGATTACTTCGCGACCAGATGAATCGGACAAGATGGGAGGAATCCATTTCCAACGGTACGTGGAAATTGCGGGATTTTCGACAGAACAAGTAAAAGAGTACATTGAGAAATACTTCAAGAACAACGAAAATATGAAGAACGCTGTACTTAAACATGTCATGAACAATGAGGACCTTGTCAGTTTTGCTCATATTCCTATGCTGTGTTATCTGTTGTGCTTCGAGATGGAGTATATCCTAACCGAATCGGAAAATCCTGATGACCTTCCTGCCTCAACAACCGACATTTACACGAAAGTTGTTGATATTTTTGAACTTAAGCACTGTGCCGAGTCAAAATACAGACAGAAAGAAATTCCTGAGCAATTCAAGCCCCCTCCTGTCATCAGGAACACATTAGAGAAATTATCAGAACTAGCGGCTAAACTGCTGCTTGAAAGCAAGCCAACTTTTGATGAAAGCGAGATGAAAGGCGAGTTTGAGCTGGAAGAAGTCAACAAACTGAAAGGTAGCGGTCTTCTTCACTGTGGTCAGTCTTTCAGGACTGCACTGATTACAACCACGAAACACTTCAGCTTCACACATCTGACCGTCCAAGAATTCTTGGCCGCTCGTTGGTTTGTAAAGGAAAATCGTGTTCCAGACCCGGCCAAATGCTCTGAAATGGTTTTCCAATTCATGGCCGGCGTGTTATCAAATGAGGAAAACGAGGAACTGATGGAAAAATTAATAGATTTACCCTTCATGCCTCCTCATCTTAGATTAAGGTGTCTTAAAGAGTATCGAAACAAAGAATTTGTTAAACAGTTCATGAGGAAGAATCCCCAAGCGTTTTTTCAATCAACCGGCGTCATAGTCTTCGAGTGTTTTTCAGATGTACACTGTGTTGGAGCATCATTTTTGTTGGACATTATCAGTGAACTAAATAAAGAGGAAGCTGGAGAGGCACAACACAAATATACTGATACGTTTTTCACAGTTAAGAGGTTAGGACTTGTCGGACCACATCTAACACTGTCTGGAATACAACGAGTCTGTAATTCACTGAAGAATGAACACTGTCTTGTGTCTCTACTTAGATTAGTGAACATTAACTGGAGTGATGAATATGTTGATTTTATTAATCGATTATTAGTAAGGAGGTTAACCACACTAATTCTGAATGATATTAAGATCACTGATAGTGGTGTTGCTAGGCTATGTGAAGCTTTACAGGATCCAAGTTGTAAGCTAACCACACTAAATCTGGAGTCCAGTGGGGTTAATGATACCGGCGTTGCCAGTCTAGGTAAAGCTTTACAGCATCCAAGCTGTAAGCTTACTACACTAAATCTGAAGGACGATGAAATCACTGATACCGGTGTTGCAAGTCTATGTGAAGCTTTACAGCATCCAAGCTGTAAGCTAACCACACTAAGTCTGGGGTCTAGTGGGATCAATGATATAGGTGTTGCCAGTCTAGGTGAAGCTTTACAGCATCCAGGCTGTCAGCTAACCACACTAAGCCTGGGTTATAGTGGGATCATTGACACCGGTGTTGTCAGTCTATGTGAAGCTTTACAGCATCCAAGCTGTAAGCTAACCACACTAAATCTGGGGTCTAGTGGGATCAATGATATAGGTGTTGCCAGTCTAGGTGAAGCTTTACAGCATCCAAGCTGCAAGCTAACCACACTATATCTTGAGGGTAATGACATCACTGATATCGGTGTTGCCAGTCTATGTGAAGCTTTAAAGCATCCAAACTCTAAGCTAACCACACTATGTATTTCGTGTAGAGGGATCAGTGATACCTGTGTTCCCAGTCTATGTGAGGCTTTACAGCATTCAAGCTGCAAGTTAACCACTCTAGGTTTGCAACATTGTAGGATTACTGGTATCGGTGTTGCCAGTCTGTGTGAAGCTTTACAGCATCCAAGCTGTAAGCTAACCACACTAGATCTGAAGGGTAATGACATCACTGATATCAGTGCTCCCAGTCTATGTGAAGCTTTACAGCATCCGAGCTGTAAGCTAACCACACTAGAACTTCCTGCGTTAGTTTTTGGAGAGACGTTTCCTATTCTTAACGCTAACGCTCAGAGATACCGACCAGATTTAAAGGTGTCTTATCATTAGTTTCATTGACTTAAATAGTTTCATGAATTTTAGTAGATTTTAATATTTAAACAAAATCAGTAGTTCCTAGTGAAATCTTAATTTTGGGTCAAAGATACCAGGTAGGCAAAGAATTTTTAATAATTGGAGTAACAAGCTACGCTCAATGTAAATAGAACCGCAAATATTTTGTAATAAAGGTTTTTTTTACCGGCGACATTGTTTACTGTACTTGGTTTGTGGATATAGACCACTAAAGAGTTGTGACAGGTAAGACTTGGGATCGGGGGAGGGGTGGGAGGGTAATCTTTTGTGAGGCTGCTGTGCGTCTAAGGAATCTTTAGGACAGGAACGTTTAGTTTAAGTTTCTCGAGGTAAGAAAAAAGAGGAATATGTCTTCCCGTTCACCCGATTCTGATTTAATTTTTGGTGAAATTACATCCTTCTGAGAACTGCAGAAATAAGACAGTTTTCTTTTCTTATTTTCAGTAAGTAACAAATTTTCGTTTTAACAGTCCGCCATTACACTGTACTAATCATTGCAAAAATGAGTCATCCTCGTTTAAGTTGTCCAGCTTTGTTAGGTTAAGTTCCAGACGAATTACATGAAGAGACCTGGATCGACAACCTAGTTTATGTAGTATGCACCGCGAGTTTTGATCTTTTATTAGTTAGTTACCCCGCTGTATACGAAATTAGACAGGTTCCAAGAGTGGACATTTAGACGTGGTCTAACCTTAACCGCAGTTTTACGCAAGCAGTGGGCTTTAAGGATTTTCTACACAAGAATTGACTCGATTAGATGAATGTCCTTCCACTGTTAGCTTGCGGCCTCCTTGACACGCTTTGTTAGGTTAAGTTCCAGAAGAATTACATGAAGAGACCTCAATCGGGGTTACCGTTTAACACAGGTTAAGCAAGAAACTCACAATTTATCGGAAGACGTGACTTTTGTTGTCACTCATTTTTGTCTACTGTTGCCCCTCATTTTTTTGCAACAACAGCGAACAATAATTCGTCCCTTTTTTGCAATAAAGTCGTGCAAGTACACAAGGGCCAGACGGTTGTTTCATGTCGGCTTTCTCCGTGGTTTTTCTGGGCCAGGTGGGTCATATGATAAATTTTACCACAACTTGCAGGAATGCCGTTGTCGATAAAAGCACAGTCACGAACTCTGGTCACGCACTGAAAGAATCGTTTTATTCAACGTCAATATTATGGTAACAAATAAGTCGACAGTGGTTTGGCGTGGTCTGTACTCTAATCAACAACGACATTTGTTAGATCTTGTTAGCACCTTGCCCAAACTTTGTTGCGAACTCACGAGGCGCAGCCGAGTAAGTCCACAACATTTTGACCATTGTGATGATGAATATCGTTGTAGATAAGAGTACAGACCAAGAGTGTCGATTTATTAAATTGAATATGGCTGATGAATTCATTGCGACTCTTGTGGGAATAACTGTTCAATTATATTTCTTGAAATTTCAGGGTCATTGGCTTTTAGTTAAATCCGGTACCATGTATTCTGTGCAGTATATCCACGAGTTCATCATAGTGTCACTTTGATCTATCTTTTGGTGATCTGTATTTACACGTAGGAGACGGAGTCACAAGTAAAACTATTCTTGATTCAGATTATGGTTTTCTGTTTTTTACAAGAACCAAATTGAACCGCGCCCTCTGCGGCTATTGGGCCTGGTTACTCAGCTGTTTTTAAAAATGGCGGCGCGTAAAGTCGTATCTTAAAGGTCGTATCATAGAAGTCGTATCATAAAGCCAATGAACGGAGGGTTACTCTTGGGAACGCTAATAAATGTAAATTGAAGTTTCTGGTAAAAATTTTAAAATGTACATTTTGATATGGCACGTGGTATGTGTTTGGAGCCGGCTTCCTTTTTTTTCCACAAAACTGGTCAACAGCAGTAGTCATTATCTGGTCATGCGCAAACTCCTTTCACGTGCGCCTGGTAGAAATTACTTTGAAAGATCTCCTGAGATATACGGACTAAGATGTTTTAGCTCGAAAATTGGGTTTAGCGACACTGTTGATCCAGCGATCTGGACTTCGTCTTCTTTCTCGTAATGTAAGATTTGCAACCTTGATGTTTAGACCGTAATTTAAGTTTTTGTTAATTTTTACTAAACGAGAATCCTCAGTCACGAAGAAGTGAAAAGCTTACATAATCGTACATCTTTCTCAAACAGTTAGGACTATCGTATCAGAAAGTTATAGAAGTTATAGAACGAGAGAATCAAAAATCAAAACAGTAATATGATTTTAAACTGATTATTTTCGTATTTTGATAAATATGGGAAATAATGAATCCAGATTGAGTTCAATATGATATTAGGGAGTACAAGTTGCTCGTATTTGTATCCTTTGGTTAGTAATTAATCCTGAATCTTACGAACGAATGCTTTTATTTCGTAGGTGAAGGCTCGGTTTTTTGCCTCTGAAGCAACGGTGAGTGCTCAACTTTCTCAAGGAGATCGACAGTTTTTGACTTCATTTTCACCGGGGTTAAAAATGTATATATTTTATTTATTGTATTACAAGGAACAGTCTTTCAAAACTGTCGGTGAAAATGTTCCTTTGAGTTCAACAGTCAGTGGTAACTTTCACAGGCTGTTCATTAACCCTCTGACTCCCAGAAGTGATTAACATGTCACTTCTCCCTTCAACATCCATCCATTCTCCAGCAAACAGTTAATGAGAATACTCAAACTTATCTGGTATCTTGATCAAACACCAAGTTCTTATTACTAAAGTAAAGTAATGTTGATTTCCCCCAAATTTTCTCTTGCAAACCTACTGATTGTTTAGGAATGCCAAGCAACTCCAAAAATTATTGTGGTGTTTTATAGGACAAATTTTTTAAGCATTATGAAATCGCTAGGTGAGAAATGTTTCAGAGTTGTTGAAAACCTTGCAATTTTATAGTATGCATCTGCTCTGATAATTTGTGCTCTGTAGTAAAAAGCCAAAATAATTTTTGGAATTACTTAATTAATATTTCTAAACTAATATTTGATACTCTAAAGAATAATCTTTCAGTAGAAATTCTGTGAAAATATTTGACTACCTAGCATTTAAACACAGCCTTATCTTTTATTCCCAATGAATGATATTCTCCTGTTACTTTACCCTATTTCCAGCTACTACTAACATTAATTAGCGAAAACTTAAATTTTTTCCCTTAGTGTTCATTCATGAATACAGGCCCTTGAAATTGGGGAATTTTTTATTACTGGATGCCATGCGTATTTTCGAAATATTTATTTTCTACGATCAGCAGTAATGTTGCAATTTGATTGGCCAATTTGCTGTTTTTGATAAGAGCATGAGCAACGCTGCTTGCATTAACTGGTCATGCAATGCCTTTATCACTGAAAGAATCATTTTTTTTGACATCATTATTGTGGTAAAAAAGGAATTGACAGGGGTTTAGCATGGTCTCTATACAATGATGTTCATCATCACATTGCTCAAAAGTTTTTGCTGATTCACCTTGCTGGGCCGCATGAGTCTGTAGCAAATTTTGACCTCTGTGATAATGAATATCATTGTCGATAAGATTACAGATCATGCTAAACCACTTTCAGTTTGTGAATTGGGCATGGCTGTGTACATTGGGCATACAT